ACACCCCAGGCAGGGAATACTTTCAAAGAATTTTTGCCAGGAAAATAAAAACGTCTTAACTAAAAAAGGATACGCCGTTCTTCTTGACCATAAAAAACGTTATATAACCCATGTTTGACCTTAAAAACGTTCGGCAGGAACAAAATTATTCTAAAGAAGGAAGGGCGCACATTTGCTTGTGAGATGTTGTCAACAATGTAGCTCAAAATCCCTTTCCCAGGAAAAAAATCGTGCAAGAAAAGTTATTTAAAAAGACCTCTTCGGTTCCTCCTGTGAATTAAGCGCTATTTAAAAGAAACGAATCAGACAGACTTGGAGAAATCTAGGCTCTTGGGACTTTATCACTGTGTAATCGGCAACTGTGTAACGTACTAACGATTGAAAGAGTGAATAGACGAAACATGTTTCATTGAAAGTCTTAGTGTGTCAAAAGAGATTGTTTAAAAAACAAATTCTCATGTACCATGACAGGGCTCGAAATAATGGCCAGACATATGCAGGACAAGATGTGTTTCCAAATTCATTTTTGGAAGTCATGTCGAATTTTCAACTGAAAACTTTATTATACTATTACTTTCTTTTAATTTAGACGGAGGTTTTGAGGTACGTGCCGCCAGCGGTCTAAATCCCTTACCCTGTTTAAGACACTATGAGTAAAAATCCACACCCTGTTCAAGACAAATCGGAAAAATAAGGAATAGCTATCTACGCCGCAACCATCAAAACTTCAATTATACTGACATCCAATAAAGACAATAAGAAGTTTTTGATAACACGTTAATCCTGCTACAGTGAAACGGTATTTCTACTAATTCTACGGTATTTCTTATGAAAATATTACCCTGTCCAAACCCGGGGGGTTTTGTATTTAGAAAGATCGGCAAGCCTTTTAATGGCTTGTAAATGATTTATTTAGCGAATTGAGAATTGATTTTTTGTCTAAAAATGTGTGAGGTCAATTTGTCCTTTAAAAACTCGGTCATCTAGCGAATTTGTAAGGAGATTGTCCTTTGACCGGCAGTTATTTCGAGCCCTGCATGAGATTTTATCGCTGTTTTTTGGTAATTTGCCTTCTAACTGAAATGATCAGTATTAAGTGATATTRGACTACTTACCCTATAGTTTAAACTAAAAGACCAATATTTATGGCAGTCTTTGAAGTTTCTTTCATGAATCTTTCTGGGTATTCTCTAGCTTGGACTCACCCGAGAATACATCTTGTTCATTCTGGTCTCTCTGCAAATATGCAAATGCGGCAACATTCAAATGCGGCAACCGAGGGGAACTTCTTTCACTCGCCTTCTTTTCTTGAATTGTGAATTGAATCGTAGGCGTATTTCACTAATTACTCCAATTGAATGGYGAAAATCATTAGGCATAGTCGGTATTCTTCAGTTTTTGCCTGTAGGAAGCAAAAAKCCATTACATTAAAAACCATTTACTTTATCTTACAAAGAGCTTATTCTAGCTATTTTGATGGACACTAATCCCTTTCATCTAGTAAAAGAACATCATTAAGATAGCAGAAATTATTAACCGAATGAACATACAAAATATATGTGAAAATAAAATAGAAATAAGAGAAAGTTACCATCATCATCATCATGTCTGCCCCAGTTGCCGTACCACAGCCGAAGAGTAGCCTGCGTAGCGGCCCTGAAGGGATTAGGGAGGGCCAAGCGGAGAATGTGGAGGATAAAAATAAAAAGGGGGCTTCGCGAAAAACAAGCACAAATCAATCAATGAAAACTCAAATATTGCAAAAATGTATGGTCCCTAATATATACGATATTYCTTATAATCATAACTTAAGCATTTAAGATATGTTAGCTTTCGTTATAGCTATCGAATTCAAAACGTAAAACGCTGCTTTTGTTGACGACATATTCTCTTGCGCAAAGACCAGCTTGCCGAAAACAAAAGAAAGCACGAGAATAGTCGTGATTACAATRACCTTGAAATTTGCATTTTCGCCAAATTGAGACTAGCCCTATGTATTCCCAAAAGAACTAAGGTTTAAGTCTTCTGGAAATACAGGGCTAGTCTCAACTCGGGGAAAATAGAGTGGTTTTCATTAACCCATGAAACACACTTAAGCGTATTTATCGCTATTACACTTTGGCTCGTTTGTTTTTTTATTGTCTCTATGCGACTATTACGATCTATTACACTCTAATTATTACACTTTGTTTCACGGGTTTATGAAAACCAGTCTACAATTTGTGAGAGCTATTCAGTGCTATTCAGTGCTCTTACAACATTTTCTCGTGCTTTCCTTTGTGTTTGGTAAGGTYTTTGCATAGGAGAATCTGCTGTCAAATAAGACAGCGGTTATTCGCTTTGAATTCGAAAAGAGTATTTTACAAGTCGACCTAAATCGTGCATTTTTAATTTTATATTGGGCTGCCTGTGAACTCATCACGCAGTTTTCAAACATTAATCCTGTTCCTTTCTTTAACATCAAAATTAATCACAAATACATAAATAAATTCTCTCATACTTGAAAAATATAAAATGTTCCCTTTTTTATTTAATCCCACATTTGTCATGTTGCCAAAATATTCGTAGGGGTTCGAGCTTATTTTCCCTCGCCAATACAGTTATATGCTAAACAGATTAGATGTCTAGAAACATGGCTTGGGTGCTATGGGAATTCATCCTTGTTTATGGCTGTTATATCGGATCATTTTCCCATCAAGAGTCATTGCCAAAAGGTACTTAACATTAGTTTGTTTGTTTATTTTTCATTTCGCAGATCAGCTTGCTTTTGAGCCGAGGTCTTACGCGCAATTCAGTGAAAGTGTGCAAATGATCAAATGCTCTTTCTTATTCTATACAGCTCTTAAAATTTATTGAAACTTGGTGTGCATCATCCCAAAGTTACAAATAATGACCTAAGAAATATCTAGTACAATTCTAACGCACTTTATTGTATCTCAGTGCTCTCTGAAAACTTTCCTGTGATTTTTTAATATTTTTTAATGCCCTTACTTGGCCTTAACGCTAACCTGTAAAACTTTTACTGGCGTTTTGAAATCAGCCATATATTTCTCCTCTTTCATTCAGCAAGCAATTATAATTACCTGATTACCCATTTTACGGTACTCATGATTCCAAGTTTGAAACGAAAGACCATGAGAATTTGTATGCGATGTTGAACAATAATTTTGTGAACCGGCTTTGAAAACAGTCAATTTGTTAATCAAACAGAACGATCTAGTGGGAATCAGCTATTTATGCTGGATTAAAAGAGGCGATGATATAATATAAAAATGTRATGAAACTTTTATTAATTGATATTAAGCTATTTCCTAGATATTTTTTGAAGTTATATAATATTTTATATATATTATTTTCATCGTTTTTCTTTTATTCTTTTCCGTTTTTGGCTGATGCATTAATAACAAGCTTATATTTTTTTTTGTCCAAATACCTTCACGTTTTCCAAAATAGCCTTAAGCTAAGAATTTTTCTGCTTTTGTTTTGTTTTTGTTTTTTTCAAAAATATTAAAATATATATGCTCATTTGCAAAACTTCTCAGTGTTAACATGTATCATTATATCGGATGCATCTTTAGTAATTTCATGTAATTTTCTCCCTAAAACAGATGGSAAATCATTCAAATACTTTTGAAYTTATKTTTATTGTTATGAAAAGTTATTCATAATCTGAAGCTCTACTTTATTTTTTGATGAATAATGGTAATTTTATCTACAGTATTAAATCGGTAAAAAACTATGCTCTAAAGTCTTATATTACATTATGAAACATATGCATTTTTCACAATCCATAGTCATTCACAGCCATTACACAACTAGTGCCCTAGGGGTGCACCAGTCACAATCGAAAGGCTTGCCAAGAAAATAAATAGTTTAAGAAAAAGAAGTTACTAGTTGTTTTAAAATTCGAATATTTCATGATGAATTATTTTTTTTGAAGCTAAGAATTACAATTTTTTTTTTATTTTCGTATTGCATAKGATAACAACTCTTCCAAGGTTCGTTCAAATAAAATTAAAATAACATGAATCCATATGCGCGCTTGCTAAATAAGTGAAGCGAAGCGTTATTCTTCTATCCTGTCAAAATTCAACCAAAAATACCTTTCTTTGAATTGAAAATGTTTATTTATTTTTGCCACATAGATAAACAATGCCATGTTTCTACTAGGAATGCAACATGAGATCATTCGCGCGTGCCTAATCACAGATAACCAATGTCATGGTTTACTTTAAGTGCAAAATGAGAATGCTAAAGCCATTTTCTTGGAAATGTTAATCCATTTTTGCCCTGCAGATAAAAAAATGCGATGCTCCACTAGAATGCAAAATGAGAAAATTGCAATACAATTTTCTTGGAAACGTTATTTTTTTTCGCAGATAAACAATGTCATAGGTMAATTGGAATGCAAAATGTGAGCATATGTGAACGAATAACAAAGCGAATCGCTATTCATCCGACCTTTCAACATTCTATCAAATATGGTTTTATCATTTTCTTGAAATAAAAAGATATTTTAACCCCGCAGATAAACCATGTCATAGTGCACCAGCAGTGCAAAATGACAGCATGCGCATGCCTAATAAGTTAAGCGAAGCGTTATCCCTCCACCCTGTTATATCCTCATTTTCAGACGTTAGTATGTATGACCGATACTAATAAATTCTGCAAAGGAGGCTACCCTATCAAGATTCCCTTAGATATTGTATTATCATTTTCCTAAAAAYGTAAATTAATTTTTACCCCTCAGATAAGCATAGTCATAGTCAATCTTGTTCCAGAGCCCGCGCTCCTCTTGGCCTGAGGGCGCGAGCAACCCTCAGGTTAAGAGGAACGCGGGCTCTGGAACAAGATTGAGTCATAGTCAAAGCCCATTAGTAAAAACTTCGCATTGTCCCTCTGTTATGTCACCATTCCACCAAATACAGTACAATCGTTTTCTTGAAAAGTGTAAAAAGGATTTTTATCCCGCAGATAAGCAATGTCATGGTCCACTAGGAATGCAAAATAGAGATATACCAGACACCAGTCTATTGTCCGGACCTGCTTATAACAATGACAACTTRAACTATGGTGCTCACCAYGCACGKCTGATGTCACCAAACGGGTATCGCGCAGATGTGAATGCTCTAAACGATTCTTGGATTTCAGTTGATTTTAAAAGAGAAGTGGTTGTTACGGGCATCGCTACACAAGGATATGGAAATATAACGGCCCAAGAATGGGTCACGCAGTTTGTATTGCTGTACTCCAATGGTGGAGATGTTTTGAAGCCATTCCGTAACCTGGAAACTGAATATGCAGTAGGTTTCATGCTCTAATTCATCACAGTGTCTCCTCTCAAAAGTCTTCTCACGGTTACGTGCGCCATCTTGAAAGGTAGCCTTGCCTTTGCATCGAAGCGAGACAACCGTTGAGCGTGTTATGATAGAAACCTTCATTCACACCTACAGACAATTATTCACAGGCACACCTACTTGCGAAAACATTGTCATAAAAATATAGGCCATTTGTATTTATTGAAAAGAAATAAATTTAAAAGACAAAAGATTACTGAGGCTGAACGCTTTCTTTTGTCTTGTTTTAATTTATTCCTTTTTTTTTACTAAATTCAAATGTTCTATTTTCTATGACGTTTCTGCAAGTAGGTGTAGTGTATATATTATTGCTCGCTCAACGGCTGCCTCGCTTCTATGTAAAGGCACGGCTACCTTTCAAGATGGCGCACGTAACCGTGAAGGTGACTATTGCTCTAGATTGCCATTTATCATTCGTTTATCTCCTATATATTTTTATTTCGTATTTATTCCTCTAATTTTCTTGTCGTTATAATCATCTTCTTCATCATTTTCCGTCCATCTTCTTGATTATTACCATTATCGTTACATCACATCATTCTTTTTCTTAAATGTATTCCTTTTTCAGTTTGCTTCTCATTTCATTTTTTCTTTTTTTGTTTCTCATTAATCGTCCTGTGTGGTTTTGTTGTTCAGATATTTTCAGGGAACAAAGACAGTAACACCGTCAACAAGATTGACTTACTATATCCAGTATTGGCTACAAACATTTTGATTTTACCACAACAGTGGCATAAAAATGTAGGACTAAGGCTTGAACTATATGGATGTAAACCAGGTAAAGTTTGCACATATAGAGGATATTACATGGGCGCGCGGAGATACCAATTTTATCTTCGAGTGTTGAAGAGATCTCTTACGAGTGAGCGTGTAGCGATATGTGAAAGCAAATTATTTCGTAAAATAACTTTTTCTTTGCTTACAATATATAGAGAAACCTCGAGGGGAAAATAACAATTTCTCGAAAGWGAAAAATACACATTTAGATATTTCATAGATACTTATATAATAAACGTATGCAATTGTACGTGAGACGTCCACCATCTTTTTCAGTCTATCCTTTCAAAGCAATTTCAAAGCAAAAAAATGTTCGTGTTTTCGTTTCAGATTTCTTCTTTACTTTGTATCTTCTACTGCCGAATAAAGATTTTTCAATGGATTTAAGAAACAACCAAAGCTATGAATACCAGTTTATAAGAGAAGATGCTTTGGCTGAGGTAACTTATCGCAATCCAAACATTGATGTACCGTATTTACTCGAATAGACGCCGCGGCGTTTATTTCATTTTTCACGATCTAGGTGCGGCGTTTATTCGAGGACGGCGTCTATTCGGGGGCGGCGTTTATTAAAACAACACTTTATTAAATACTACATACCGTAATTTATATTGTATATTTTACTAACAAACAGTAACGATTCTCAATATATAAATGTCGTGTTGACTTTGTCGGTTCAATTTATGATTTTAATCAGAGTTAAAGTATATTTCAACATCTAATGTCCTCCTGGTGGTCGGAGTCTAACAGCTGAAGTACAGACACTTCGAAATAAAAAATGTTCTAAAAGAAAATAAATTCACATTGCTGGTATCATTATTTCTTCAAATTGACGTTGAACCCAGATGCGGCGTCTATTCGGGGACGGCGTCTATTAATATTTTGAGCTTTAAGTGCGGCGTCTATTTGAGGGCGAAGTCTATTTGGGGGCCGGCTTCTATTCGAGTAAATACGGTATTCGTCTGATAAACAATGAACACTATGAAAGCTTATGAATATAGATATTCCGATATTAAACTCTGTTTCTTCTTTTATAGATAAATGGATATCTAGGAGATGTTCCTGGGGTTTTGAAAGTTTCTTTCAAAGAGTTTAGGTATGTATTAACATTTATTATTTTTTTCAACGTTTGTTTCGCTTTTTATTGTATTTCTTAATATTCCATTGAGATTTAAACGAAGCGGTTATTGTGTAAATAACCCGATGAAAGTGTGAAATACACTATAAATATTCATTTGTATAGCTCGTCCACTGGGAAAAATCGCGCGCTAAATTTGATGTAAATATGATGTAAAAGTCCAAAATTCTGTAAATTTAATGGAAATCATTTACATCAAATTTACAGAATTTTGGACACATCATATTTACAACCTTTAAGGCGCGTAATTTTTTTCCAGTGGTCCTTTGTTCAATTTGTTGCGATTTCGATATTTTTGGCCCCACTCTTGTTTGCAGGTATGAAAACTYAACTTAMATATAAGAAATTATCGCAAATAGTGTCAATGAATCAAACTAACCTGTAGTCGCTCGCACATACAGTCCTTCAAAATGTACTTAGTAGCCATAGTTTATGTACTCCATATATATATTTTTTTCATCGTTCCAAAGTCCACAGGAAAGTGTCACCACAGGGCACATAGCAACACAAGTGGAGTTTGACATACATTGTGTTGAATCGAGTATGCATTACTTGCTTACGAAGCTCAAGGAACGAGTTGAGGAGAGCGATATAYTTGAGCGAAACTACTTTAAGCTTAACTACCCAAGTAAGTAGCAAGGGATGAACATTTCTTCTTCTTCAGACAGTAGTCTACTAGACTTGAAATTTTATTACATATTCCGTTAGTTAGCTTGGAACCATTGTCCGCCCTAAAGCGTAGTATTTTCCATTAAAAATGGTATTATCATTTTCTTGAAATAATCAGATATTTTAACATCCCAGATAAACAATGTCATGGTCCACTAGGAATGCAAAATGACAGCATGCGCGCATACCTAATAAATACAGCGAAGCGTTATTCCTCTGCCCTGTTAGGATGGAACTTGATCAGCATAACCTGAATAAATTGGTTTGGCTGGTAACGTTTTGCATCCATTCCTCAAACAAAATGCTCGAGAATTATCATGTAATAGTTTGTTGACTGGAAAATTTGATCAATTTACAGACAAAATGTCTGTAACCTTTAATTGATTTTACAAGATATTTACAATGCTTGATCGAGAAAAGTTTACAAGATATTTCCAGATGCACATAAAATTTACAAATGTCTGTTAAGTCAATTGAATTACCAGTACATTTACAGTACATTTAAAATATATTCATTTTGTTATTTACAAACTTCGTAGACTAATGAACATTGTATTTAAATGCAATTTCATTTATAATTCTATGTAATTTAGAAAGCAGTGCCTGTCAATCACCACATCTGAAAATAGCACCACTTCTCAACCACGCCTCAAAGAGAACGACCATGTTAAGTCAGGCGACGGCTRYTTTYCGAGTTTATCTCAAGGAGAGCTGTAAAGCAGCAAGGCAGCTGATCACATGGAAAATAGGAATCGTCGCCARGGGGAGCGGGAGGATATCTCATATGTTACCAATTTCAGTTAATACACATAATGTAACGCTCAATCTTCAGGATTACAAAACGCGTTTAATCCTGCTTCAGTGCACAATGTATAGAACTGYTGAAGGTACAGAAAGTTATCAACAAGACTACAGATTCATAGAAATCATTAATTCTAATCTTACTGCAAGAATCAAAGCCCCAGAATTTGCTGTCCATGGAGGAAGCAATGTTAGTCTAGATGGCACAAAGTCTGGAGCAGATGGAGACCCCGTGTTTTTAAAAGATCTTGCTTTGAAATTTTCTTGGTTTTGTAAATTTAGAAAAAGCAAAAATTCCAATTTTTACAGTGGATGCTTTGGGAGAACAATCTCTAAGCCATTTTCCTATGTAAGAATGGTAAATATGGATGTTAATAAATTGGAGGCTGGTCAATATTTTTTCACACTGGTGGTGAGTTCCGATGATGTTGAAGCCAAAGCTGAGCATCGGATGAAGGTTGAAACACACACAAGTTTATCGATAAGGTTAGGAACAATTCCATATTTTTTTCTTTATTGATTTTGTTCGATACATCAGAAACAATTCTTCATGAAAAGTTTAGATTCTTTTAGCAAACTCACCTGCAAGTCTCTTGATTTTTTGTAATAATTAAGAAAAATTGTTTGCCATCACTGCCATCAAGTTCTTTTAACTTGCACATTGATTTGCTTTGTTCTTTTCTTACATTTTCCAGATGTATMTCAAATTGCTTGTTAAAGATAAACCCACAGAACAAGCAGGTTCTCCAGGCCAAATGCAGCGGTAGAGGCTGTGGAAATATACGCAAATATGAATGGATATTTTACCTATATAACAGCTCAAAAAATGTTTGGAAAGTTCTTTCGCAGSAGTTGAMMAGAAGACCCAAATTTCAAAACAATGCTGAACTATTTGTAATCAAAAATTTCACCCAAAGCATTGGATTTGTCAATSTGAAGGACGAACAGTACAAACTAAAAGTYATTGCACATTTCAATGAATATGTCCAGATTTACACTRAGGATRGATTTAYATTGAATGCTGTACCAGAAAGTACAAATATGTCTGGCTGCAGCGTTAATCCAGCGAGTGGAAGAGCAATGGATACTTATTTTAGAATATCTTGCGAAAACTGGAAAGACAACGACTTGCCCTTGGGCTTCGAGTTCTCTTATATGAGTGAGTTTGGTCTTATTTTGTTATATTCTGGATATTTCTCAACATTTACGACCCAGCTTCTTCCTGGAAATGGTTCATTGGATTTTATCATTGACATTATTATAAAAGTAAGCGACAGATATGGAGCATCTCAAACGAGCTTTGTTCCAGTAAAAGTTGTAATACCTCCASAAGATGAAGCAAATTACAGAATTTCGAGCATCAATGGCGAATWTGAAGAGCTGTCCAGAAAAAGTGATTCAAGTAGAATTGCCGATGTGTCCTTGTTTGCACTTTCTCTGATGAATTTCTACACTCAACCAACAAGCACAGAAAATAAGGTARCTCTCTCCAATAAAAATGACTAATGGCTATCCTTTCTTTGAGCAATTTGTTTGATTTATCATTAGGTTAAGAAYGAAATTATTAGCCATGCGAGTGTCTTGAATATAACGTCCATCGATGTTTCGTCAAAATGCGCTGCTCTTGTTAAGCCATCCACAGAACAGCCTGGAAAGCTGACACAACTTGCACAGGTACTAAAAATATTATTGTTGTACTGGAAATTTGTTTAAAAATTATAAAAAAGAAATATAGAAAGAGGAGAAGTAATGTTTAAAGTCAGACAATTAGTTCCAGTCCGAGGCGTTAGCCGAGGTATAATAAGGTAGAAATAGCTGGAAATAATGTAGAAGTAACTTGAAAAAGGTAGAAGTAACTGGAAATAAGGTAGAATACAAGGTACGAGTACTTCCTCTGGTTTCAAGTTACTTCACGAGGTGCAAATGACAATCAGGGATTGGCTGGATACCTCATGAATAATTAATAAGTATGAGAAAGAAGTTTCACAACTGCTGAACCTGATCTGGATATGTATTCAGTATATTTATAGCTTAGGAGTTTTGCAACTTTTTTCAGGAAAATGCGTTGCTCGTAGTTGAGAAAGTGGCTAGTAYGATGGCAAGAGAAGCTAACAGAGGAATGGCGCCAGAAATGACTGAATTATTTGCTGAGGGTCTGATTGGTGGATTGAGTAACATTATTGACCCTGTTTTTGAAGACCAGACAAGATCCGCTGATTTAGCAAGMGGAGTACATGCCACAATAGAAAATAAGGTAATTAAATAATTTTTGTTTGAAAAGCCTGGTTTTCACTCRCTTTAAGCAAAAGTGGGGTTAGATAAGTATTTGGGATAAGAAGGGATTAAGGTAACACAAAACTTATTTGAAAAATCACACAACACTGGCGCTGGATTGTGCTCCTGTTGAACAGTATTTTGACACCACTGTTTCAGGACAAGCCTCATCTCCGTCAAATATCCCAGCGAACAACTAGTATAGCAACGCAAGTCGCAGAAACCTTATCGAAGTCGACAAAASTTCGTGATAAGCCTAAAAGAATCGTGACAAAGAACATAGCAATCCACGTAGAAAAAGATTTTTCTCAATCATTCGACAGAAAAGYTATCAAGGAAAAGAAAAGTGTCATTATGTTACCTCCACTGAAAGATGTTCTTTCGAATACCGATGGAACTGGAGAAGTAATTGATTTGGTGGTTAGTAGATTTGCAATAACGATGATTTTTGGGGGTAATGGAGAAATGATTTTATGGTGGGATGCAAGAGATGAGAGGGAATGTAAATATGTAAGATAAGAAAAAAACAAAACAAAATGAGATCACATCTCGATATTTTTTGTAACGCATTTAAAAACCACATTCTCATTCTACTTTTTTTTGATCTGTGATTAGCTAATTGAATTTAAAAAGAATCCGTTCACGTGGCATCCAAGTTCAGAAGCCATTCAATCTGGAATTATAGATCTCAGTTTGCAGGTCAATGGAAAGCGAATGAACGTAACTTCWTTGGAAAATCCCTTAAGTCTATATCTTCCCATTAAAGAAGGGRAASRMRAAARCCACCCWACGCTTCAACRCAARTTTTTCCTTACACCTGTCCAAACTATCAAGGAGTTGAATAGTACAGATAATATGAACTATCACAAAGTGAATATATCCTCAAAGTATTTGACGGTCAGCATTCGTATCGTTCCAGAAGAGGGGGCAATTTTAGAAGTTTATATTCGGCCACGAAAAAAGCCTTCACCCAYAGACTACAGTTACTTCCAGATCATCCCAAATTCTTTATCCTGCAAAGACCGAAATACCAAATTGGTAAATATAAGTCAATGTCATAAAGACCCTTACACTATTAGTTTTTCTGGCAACATGACTGGATCATTGGGGTTGCACTACATTGGGATTCGTGCTTTGCCAAAACAATTGAAAAGGTCAGCAACAAAGCGCAAGCAAAGAAATGCTGAAAATACACCAAATCATCAAGGTAATAGTTGCTCATGACACAAGGAAAGCGGTTACTGTTATGAGCTTAACGTTTTCTTGTACTTAAAGGATATGATTTGTGGCAAAAAAGCTGTACTACCAGGCCTAGTTTGCAGCTCACAAATATTTAATGTTTATTTTCTTCATTTTTAGACGAGCAAAGAGCAAACAGTCCAAATACTGGAGATCAGAAAGGAACTTGTGTTGGAGTGAAGACTCCTGCAACATCTCCTCCAAAATTGTCGCGTCCAGTTTACAAGAACGAAACTGATGTCACGTACACATTAAAAACGTCCTTTTCGGCGTGTATGTTTTGGTCTGAGATAAGAAATGCCTGGGATACSACAGGTTGCAGGGTAAAATAAATTCTATATGAATGTAAAAACACTTGACCTAATCTCCCTTATCTTTGACCTTGTAGCTCAGCTGGTAGAGCATTGGTAGTACAAATCTGAGGGTCGTGGGTTCGAAYCCMAGCGAGGWCGGAAATTAATTTTTCCGAATTTATCTCCAACGATCTTTCTACCGGAGTTWCCTCTTTCTAAGCACTAGAACCTCCTTTATTTCTATATTATGAATAAATGCTACACATCTCTATTCACTTTGCTGCACATCATTTACGACAAGACGTTGGTTTAGTCATACCTTCTTTGTTTTTTTTTTAGRTTGGCCCTGACACRAGTTCACGTCACGTGCACTGCTTATGCCATCATATGACCGCTTTTGGAGGGTCTTTTTTTGTGGCACCAAACCCCATCGACTTTGACCATRTTTTTGCAGAGTTCAGTAGACTGGGTGAGACTGGTAACTATGTTGTCTTGACAACAGTAACGCTCATGTGGGCGATGTATTTCATTGGGATTGTACTTGCCAGAAGAGCTGACTTACAAGACAAGAAAAAAGTAAGAGAAATTATTGTTAATAAGATATCCTTGCAAGGACGCTATTGAACTTCATTTGATAATTTTTTTTACCGCTTATTATTGATTATTGTGTTTAATGGGACATGAACTGCCGGCATCCSTTTGAATCTTTTCTTTATGTCTGAAAGTCTAAATACATCGTAATGTAAGATAGAAACCTCCTCTTTATTATCCCTTTATGTCTTAAATCAATGGAGACATTACAAGATTCAACCTTAAAACCGACGGATAGAACAGATTGCGATTGGATATTTGAATTCACTTCAACATATATAAAAATTAAAAACAACAACAACAACAACAAAAACACAGCATTGAATGCTGTTGGGCCATCGCACCCTAATATGCTCTACATTTAGTTTATCACTCTCTACGAAAACTGTACAAGTAATAATTCAACGATGAATGGATGTATATATATTCATAACGTTTATATTAACTCTTGTTCCATAGATAATAAATTGCGTTATCAACGGCACTAGTGAAATAAGATATGGYCCAGTAAAGACTTACAAAATATCCATACAAACTGGTTCATGGCTTGGTTCAGGGACAACTGCAAGTGTAGCTTTGATATTGCATGGAACTAAAGATTCTGTTCCTGTGTATTTGAATAACGATGATCCTTCAAAGAAGCTWTTTGCAAGGGGCAGCGTAAATACCTACTGGTTATCAATATCAGAAGATTTAGGTATTGGTGATCTTTTGCATTTATCTAGAAATGTGGCTGTGCCTTCTCATCGAAGCGAAAAAATTGCTGAACGTGCAATGATAGAAAACTTCTTTTTCAGCTACAGCTAGGCATTCACATGTATCTATCGTTGCACGATCAACGTTTGTCTCACGCGTGTCGATGAATGGGCACGGCTACAATTCAAGATACCGCTGCTAACATGAAAGACACTATTGCTTCTTTAATCATACAAAGCGGTGCATAATCCTCCACTAACATAATGTTTTGGTTTTTACCTCTAAGGCAGGAAAGTGTTATATTTTTCTCAATTATTGAGCTCTGTGAATCTCGTATTAACTGTCTTAAATAAGAATGGAGAGAGGTCGCTAAAAACAACAGTTGAACTTAACAACTCCTTTGTTCTCCACTTCTTCGTCTCAAAATGTCCTTCCCTTACATCTTATTGAACATAGAAACACCAGCATCTGCAATAAAACAAAGCTGCTACCTATTTCATTAGACAGATTTCTAAATTAGGATTCGCTTTCTTTTGTTCATTTTTTCTGCTTTACCAAATTCTCTGGAATAACAATAACTATGGTGTATTTGTACTTCAGGCGAGATCTTTAAAATCAAGTTATGGCACAACAATTCTGGAAAAAATCCCTCGTGGTTTGTTTATGATATTATGGTCGAGGAGGAATCCAGCTCAGGAAAATGGTATTWCCTSGTCAACAAATGGCTTGCTCTAGACAAAAATGGTGTTATAACAGATGTGATGCTAACAGAAGAAAAGGAGGAAATGAAACTTAAGAAYAGGTTCTACTCSCGYGCWGCAATAGAGTACTCGAATTCTCAYTTATGGCTTTCTTTATTTACTAAGAGTGTACACAGTCCTTTTACACGCTGCCAGAGACTCTCTTGCTGTTTTCTTGTGCTGACTTCTACAATGGTAACCAATGCAATGTTCTATGAATTTACATCTGACACAACGGAATCGTTTATGATTGGTCCATTTAAAATCACTCTTAGAAGTATAAAAACAGGGATTCAAAGCGCTCTGATTACTTTACCAATCAACGTTTTTGTTGCATTCGTCTTTGAAAAGGTAAGTCGTGCTTGTAGATAGGGATTGAAAATTTTATGTTGACTACTTCAATTACGTAATAATTGATCACACCACTAATTGCACATATTTGTTATTTTCACTTTCACGGCTTTCCAGTCATACGCAATTCGCAGTTTGAAGTGTACAAGGCTTCTATTGAGTGTCTCCAGCCCTCTAGGGTCTTATTTCCTTGGGTTCATAGTTTTTCAAGTCCCATCTCATTATGTCATTCTCCTTGTCTATCGTCACTGAACATGTGCTTTTACTAAATTACATGACATAATATATAATATATTTCTTTGGTTATACAGGTTAAGCCTAAACGTACAATTGACGAAAGAGGTTTGGTGACACAAGAAGAACATTCTCAAGGCTTTATCCCAAGGTTTTTCATCCCTATAGCCTGGTTTCTTTGCATAGCAGGGATCGCCYTGTCCTCTGTATTCACTGTGTTCTACAGCCTAATGTGGGGAGCCACGATATCCAATCAATGGCTTGCTTCCACCATGATATCCTTCACTCAAGACGTCTTCGTTAATGAACCAATCCAAATCGTCGTTATAGTTTCCCTCTTGGCAATGATCATCAAAAGGCCAGTTGACAGTCGGGAAGATGTCACGGTATCTGTAAAGCGTGACATTCTTGAATGTCACGCCATTGAGATTCCACTGGAAAAGAAATTGTCCAAAGCACGTGATCTAGAAGTAGCAAGAACGACTTTAAAGAAATTTRTAACGGAGATYATACTTTACATGGTCTTTGTTAGCCTGGTGTTTATTGTGTGCTATGGGAATATCAGCATTGAGCGATTTCGTCAAAATTCATCAATCAGATCGGCTGGTAAAGATTTTAAGGAGGTAAATTCTTATTGAAGCGTAATAGAAAATAAGGAAGGATAAAAAAGGAAAACAAAATGTACATCGAACGTCGCGAGCAGGATTTGAACCTGCGCGGGGAGACCCCATTAGATTTCTAGTCTAACGCCTTAACCACTCGGCCATCGCGACCATTAACACTTGTCAAATATATTTAAAAATTAATATCAAACTTAAAAGAGAGGAATGATGACCGRTACATTAAACAAATTTACMAGCAGCTTTGAATGATAGGTAAACGATGCCAAATCATTTTGGGCGTGGCTCCAAACAGACACAGTGCMCTTCTTGTTTAATAACACGTGGTATAACGGAATGACGTTCAAAGGTCCTCAAGGTTACATCRGTARTAAGGAGATGTTTCTAATAGGAATGCCTCGAATCAGACAATTACGTGTAAAGTCAGGTAAGTTGAAATCCTAAAACTATCAAAATGTTATTCAACTGTTAATTAATTCAAAAATCAATAAGCTTGTCATGTTTTTGCTACTCCACCGATATAATGACAATATAATATTTTGGAGGAAAACCGAAAGGAGTTGAATAGTGAAACTTCAAGASTACATTCTTTACGTATTTTCCATAAATATTACATGGATGGGACGGATTCAGATGGAATTAGTGCTTAACGAAAAATAATTGACACTGATTCATTTATAAAATTCATCAGATATTTCATGTTTGGAAAGAACACCAAGACAACTGCAGCATTTTTTCACATCCTGCCTTCAAGAGTACAATATATTAACAGAGGACAAAACCCAGTACAGCCTTCCAGGTTGGCAGCGTCCTCCAATCAGCATCGATGTCAATTCTTCCAAGGAATTCATCGACAATTATTGCCCAAAACCTTGGAGGTACTCTAGTTTTAAATCTATCCAGACAYTGCCATATATGGGAGATAATGTTTTATATGGAGGGGGAGGCTTCGTTGCTGATTTGGGCTACAGTATTACAACGGCACAAAGCGTTGCAAGTAACTTAAAKRAAAATAATTGGATYGATGACAGCACAGCAGCAGTGTTYGTTGAGTTYACTGTATTCAGTCCAACTACAATGCTGTTCAGYTCTGTAAAGCTACTATTTGAGAGATTTCCCTACGGAGCAACGACCRCTTCATTGCGTATCAACACTTTTAATGTTTATCCAACAACCAATAAAACATTCCTACARCTTTGCCAGTTCTTTTTAATTGTAATGATCGTCATTACTATTGGAATGGAAATAACACGACTGCTCATGCAAAAGGCTCAGTATTTCAAGGATATCTGGAACATAGTGCAATGGCTACAGATAGGAACCGTGGTTGCATCYATTGTGATGGCCTATTTCAAGGAAAGCTACACATCAGATTTCTTAACGCGAGTAAAAGAGAATCCTTTCCAGACTTCAAGTACCGATTACATAGTCTTGTGGTCTGATCTCGAGACATTKTTACTATCATTTGTCATYTTTATAMTGACWATTAAACTTTTACGAATCATGAGGTTCAACAACTTCGTCCGTAAACTGATAAGAAGTATAAAAGAAACTAAAAAGATGTTTGGTCCCTTGTGTGCTATTTTCACGATTGTGGTATCAGGATCATCCTTCATGGCTAATATACTATTTGTGGAAACTTCCTATGACTACTCGACTTTAGGAAGGACAGTTRTAATGCTAATCCACCCTTTGGCTTCAGGAGATCCACTACAGGATACTAATACTGCTCAATCATCTAACAGCCTTCTTGGTGCAATATTTACTATCCTGTATCCCATGCTATGGGTAATAGTTTTAAGCATCTTCATATCTGTTATCATGAACAGTTGGAAGTCTTTTCCTCTTGACAAAAGAAACAACCKTRTCCAGCCACTAAATGCTCTTCAAAAAYGTGTTAAGAAAGTCTGTCGAAGGATTAAAGGCGAAAGGAAGAAAAAKATCAACTTGGGTGSCAGTTTTGGAGCTWCGAAGCATTCTGGGGTCATAGATACGAGGCTTCGTTGCAGAGATAATGATAAAGTGCATGTGCAAAGCATGGCTTTGTGTGATAGATTCATTTTGGGTGGTAAGAAGTTTGGACCTTCTGAGGTCATAGATACGAAGTTTCATTGCAAAGACAATGATAAAACGCATAAGCAAAGTGTGGTCTTGTGCGATAGATTCGARGCCAGTTCACAGCTGTGGCTAGAAACACAAGTATGAAAAACTACAAGGACTAGAAGTTACCAGTTATTCTTTCACGTACCTATAAAGTAATATTGGACTAGGCAATAAAATAATCAAAAGATAAAATAATATTTGGCAAATTGAACTGCAATATTTATGTTTCACAGAATTTACAGTGCACTCTCGTACAAGTATTACTAAAAAGATACGAAAGTCAACAATTAGTTTAATAATACTTCTGTTKTTATTTATAAATAAAACTTATTTCATGGTATAATCATAACAACATATAAACCTTTTCAAAAAAGACAAATAGAAAAAACTACTATTCACATTAAAATGGGAAGTACATGTACTTCTTTTAAAAGTTCCAAACATAACCTGGATGTAGCCAATTGATATATATTTTAGCCATGTTGAYCTGGTGTGATAGAGTGTTTTCAAGCAAAGGAAAACTCACTTAACCAATGAAAAGTCATGGCTATCTTTCATGACGGTCCTGTGGAGTACTAATATACAATGTAACCAAGTTGATAAAATGAAAATTCACTTCTGCAATGAAAAAATGCTCATATTTTTAAAGTAGCTCCAAAATCATTTGCCCCAAAGTCCCGTAAGCTCAATCCCGAATTATTCTTATCACTGTTGAACATTGTTTMTTTTGGAAGCAKATTTCTCTTCTTAAAGCCACGAAGACACCAAAATGGGACGAGGTCTTTTTCAGTACAGATATTTGTTCTGACTTGAAACGTAGCAAGAATATGATCTTTAAAATGAGCTTATTGGTTTKAATGATGCTGGTCAGAMCTTTTCGGCCTATAGTAGACTGSGTACTGGCTTGAAACTSATGTGCCTTGTTTCATTTGAATTGCGCAATCTTGCTTAAAATTCAACGTTTTTCACGGCATTTATAAAYGCAGTATGTTATAAGTTGAGCTAAGACAAAGGAGCTTTTTCTTACAAGAATGAAAGATACAAACATAAGTCTAAAGTACGCAACATTATGAATATTACAAATGGTTTTTATAATGTMATATTTCTGTTTCTTTGCAAATCAAAAGTAAAAATGCCACATTTCCCTATGACAAGATTTTCGTAACATTGTCAGTGTTATATACAATACTTCAAAGTGACTTACGAGTGACAAGTTGCCCTACCCTGTACTCGACATCCTTGTGGCTTATTGCGCCATCTTTCTTGTTTTCTTCGACATGTCTTTGGTTTATTCGCTTTAGTTCTCTTTGACATGCCTTATAATATCTTCGATTTGTTCTGCCATCTTTTCACTTTGTTTCTGAATCTCTGCATTGTGCTCCATCATCAATTCAGTTTGTTCTGCGATCTTCTCACTTTGTTTTTGCATCTCTACATTGTGCTCCATCATCTCTTCAGTTTG